AGTTACTCAGCTAAGAAAAACTAATTTAAAAGTTAATATGCTATGCAAAATTGACAATACAAAAGTGCTAATAGTAACTAATTAAAAACTAACAATTTAAGAAATTCAATTCAATTATCCCAACAATATAACATCAAATTTTCATTCACACAAACTAATATGAAGATCAAATATATATTTACTCCATTCGCTAAAACTTACGCGTTACCTTTCAATCACAAAGCTTCAAACACCATTCTTTCATATTATAAAAGTCATCTATTAATGAATCTGCTAAATTTTCTTGTAATTTTCTTCTTAATATATGTTATCATGTAGCCTGCAAGATAACCATTTTCCGAGTCTGTACGAAAAGGACCACAACCTTGCAGGAACCAAAGGAACAAAAAAATATAACTTGGACCCAATTGCTTCTATTGTAAAACGTAGTTTTAACTTCGGTAATATAATATCACATAAATTGTTTCCGCTGGAATATGTATTTTTAGTTGGTCAAATTTGTGGACCCCTCTAGAATATCAAAATGGATTCGTCACCGCTTATACAAGATTTAGCCAATTTAAATTGGTTTTGTTCTTCTTCCCCAATTCACTTCTCTCTCTAAAACTCCTCCTTCCTTCTCATACTTCTCCTTCAATCTTTTTTATGTCTCCTCAGGGTACTTCCCTCACACACCATCTGTCATATTCTATGAGATTTGGGTTGGGTTCAAAATTTTGAGAGGAAAATATATTCATCTTCGGGGAAAAAAGAGAAGAAAAACATAATAATTGACTCGGTAACATATGCTCAAATACGTCCATCATAATCTAATCCATCTCATTCTATAACAAGGTTAAGCATGACAACTTACAACCTTACAACCATCATCCCTCGATATCGTATTGTTATTGAAGTTGGACAAATGATCTCTGGTATACTTAAGGTGTTGATATTGAATAGGAATGGTGAAATGTTAATAAGATGATATATTGTTGAGTCTCATGAAGCATCTTCAAGGTGTCTTGAATATTCAAAGTACTGGGCGCATTGAAAAACACAATGCAATGCATTTGAAAATCTAATAATAAATTCCTAATCCATGCTGGTCACTTTAGATGATACTTTTTGTCATTCTTCTGTAATATTTTCATTGGTGATAAATGACGAAAATCTTTTATGGTATTTGATGATAGTTCATGTACGTTTGACATCAATCATGAAAGACTTGCAAGGTTCTTCTTTGCGTAATTCCTATATCAATTTTGATATTTCCTTTTGTTATCCTGATTTTTTTTCTAACCAAACAGAATAACAATATTTCCCTTTTTCCCCTTTTCTCTCACACTGACGCTCCAAATTTGACCCGAATGATGATAATTATTTTATTAGTATGATGATAAAACTAAGAATCAGACTAGAATCTGATTGCTTGATCTTCGAATGAGAACAAAAGGAATATGTAATTATTTTGTACCCCCATCATTTTGAATTTGAAAGAAACTACGGCATAAATTTATCATTCATGGCTTTAATTCAATTTTATGGTTTCTTGAATGTGTTTTAGGAGAGTGAAGGGGAAGTAGCTATGACAGCCAGAAGCAGTAAGTTGGATGTCGGTGTTCTTGCTGAAAGTTTGGAGAAGTTAGTAACCCTCACAGAAGTTCATTGAGTTGTTCTTCTTTGTGTTTATTGATATTATTTAACAACTTTTCAAGTCTTCCAGGTCAAATGATGATTACTTTTAGAATGTGACGTTGGGGAAACCGTTTTGGCTTAGGATCTCAGCGGTATCTCAAAGATCTTATATATATGTATGTATGCATATTATGTATGTATACACACACATACATATTCACACATACATATTCTAGCCTTGTAGATGAAGTATTTAAAGGGTTTGGATTAACTAAGGCCCTTGGGTTCCTTTAAACGAGAATGTCATGGGAGTGAATAAGAACAATAAGGCCCATGGGTTCCTTTAAATGCATAGCTTCATATTTCATACGGGGTAGAACAGGGGATATAGTAGTTTGAATTAGCCTTTACTTACAAACTCGAGTGTTGTAAGCTAGCAGAGTTTGGATTGACTTTTGGATATGATATTGTTCACTGATGTACAAATTTGATTGATTTGTGTGTGTAGGAAGTTGAAAGGTTTTATGCCTTTTTTTCTTCTTTCTATTCAACTCTTGTTATCGACTATGATGCCCCATAACCTCAACAAACCATACTCTTAACCTGGGCTCCACACTCCACTTCATAGCCAACTCTTGCCTTGAAAGCAAAGCACGCTCCAAATCATTTCTCCACCTCCGCTTCCCACTCTCCACACATTTGATTAATCAAACTAATCTAATTCCCAACACTCAATTGCACCCACCGATTCCACTCCCCATTTCCTTCAAACTCAAGCACACCCCCAACAACACTATAACATACAACCTCCAAAAGAAAAACCAAGGCAAACCCCTTTGCCTCATAAACCCACCATGCCTCTCCTCCTCCTCCTCCTCCTCTTTCCCATTT